TAGTAGTAGTAGTAGTAGTAGTCGCTACTACTATTACTATTACAAGTACTACTGATTGTTACAATCATTAAGAAGACCAAGACGACGACCGCTACCACGGCTTTTTATCTGTGGTTTCAACAAAGCGAACTGTCGCCGCGATGACTCGTGCCCGGCATAGCATCACAGGGCTTCGAAGTCAAATGCAAGAGATTTGTCCTTGCATCAACGGCCCGATCCAAGGCATGTCGCCGGTAAGGAAAATGTGGTTTGTCACAAGGATGAAGTGGCACGTGTGCCGTGCAGTACCAATGTGGACTGTCAGAGGACGGCACGTGTGCGGTGTGAAGAGTGTGAAGTTTTACAAGTTGGGGCTCCCCAGTGCGACGGTTTTTGAAGTTTCGCGAGAATCGCAACCGGCATGTGGCAAACAAAGTTCGATGATACACAAGAAGCTGCCCTTCCACAAATGGGTTTCAACTGTTTGAATGAAGGATGTTAGCAGCAGCAGCAGCAGCAGTAGCTATAACAGTAGCAATTGCAGTGGCAGTGGGGAGGTGGCGCCAGCAGCAGCAGCAGCAGCAGCAGCAGCAGCCGCAGCAGCAGCAGCAGCAGCAGCAGCAGCATTAGTAGCACCACTAGTTGCAGTAGTGGTAGGGCTTTTTGGGCACGTTCGGGTGCAAAGCGAATGTCTGTCAGTGTGCGAATCTGACATCCACTCTGCACTAAATTCTCATCCGTGAATGAATCGATTCTAGTGCGTGAATCGGTGGCCTACCGTACCGTCGAGTGCCCCAGAACATGTTGACGACCTATGTGCTGGCACTTGCATGGATCTCCATTTGACCATTTGCAGCCTGACGAACAAAGGCAAGGCTCATGTACGACAAGATGACTGGGGCAATGTGAGGCATGGTTGACCCAGAGTTGCCTAGCCGACGTCCTGACCATTCTGGTTTTTCCTAACCGCGCATCAGGTGCTTCGCTTGTTCCAAGATTGACGTGCTTGCCTTCAAGCCGCAGCCATAAAGCTTGAATGCTTCTGAAAATACACAGAAGCAGTATATGACTTCCTCATACTTCCTCCGTACATGCTGAAGGCATCATCCCCTGCGCTTTCTGATTCGAAGACCTTGGGACTCCAAATCTGTCTCTGCCTGAGGATGCTGGAGTGTCACGGTTCTGAATTTGTCGCACTGCGCTGCCAGGTCGTGATTGCAGGAAAAGTGCCGAGGGTGCTGGCCTCACCATGGGGAAAAACCACTCGCAGATGTGCATTTGCGGATGAAGCCCGCTCCGGGGAGCGTGGTTGAATGCACTGCACATCACCCAGGTTCGGAACATATCCCTGACCCCACCACCTTTCAAGGCTCGCGAGGCATGGTTTCACCCAAAGGGTTTCGATCGCATCACGAATTGAAGGACAGCAACGCGCTGCGGCCAGAAAGCTCGGAAGAGGTGACTTGTTTTGAGGACACGCTGGAGGCATGCAAGTGAAGTTTGGGCAGGCTCCAGACCCGGGCCGGAGCTTCCATCCGTCGTCGTCTTCTTTCAGTGCCGTTCTGAGTGGATCGCAATCGCGTTGAGTGCTGTGCCGGATGGCTCTGCGCAACAGCTTGGATCGCTGGGCCATGCCGTTGGCACACGACAAAAATTTGGCGCATGCAGAAAACATGCGGAAACTTTTCAATGCTGGTATCATACAGCACCCATGCGGCAGTTTTTGGATCATCTGTACAATGTAAAACGAGATGTCACCGTGCATAGGAGCACAGAAGACACTCACGATGGTTTGCCCTTGCAAAGAATGCACATGCACACTTCAACCACTCCTACACTACCGTTGCAGATTGGATGCATCTGTGTTGAATGGACCTCTCTGTGTTACGACTCCAACTTGCCGACGGTGTTCTCAGACGGCTTAGAGTCCTGTGTTGCGTGATTGAGAAGGGTTGGGGCAGGGCCGAGCTTCAACCTTCCTTGAAGCATGCCATGCCAATCGCAGTTTGATATTGGCTGCTGCATCTCGTGTCGGCTTCAATTACAGTTTGATGCAGCACCAGGGTGCCAGTAGCAGTGAGCCTCGCGGTCAGTGCCGGTGTGTCTAAGGTGATGTTTGACGAAGTCAACAGGTTGATCATGGCGGCGATGCTGAATACCAGTGTGTCCAATGCCATGTCATGGTAACGATGCCGCGCCATAAGGCCGTGCAAATAATGTGTGACGACACGTACCAACCCACTGGATGCACGAAGTGCATTGTACAGGTCACGGGTAGGTGAGTTAGGTGAGTCCGTGCTTGAAGCGCTGCCCTCATCTGTCGCAGCAATGCGTGCGAATATTATAAGGGCCGACATGCGCGAAGGTGTTGTGACGGATCGCTGAATGTCGTGAACAATGAAGGGCCATCGGGCGCCATGGTTTTCCTGCAGTTTTTATGTGGATCGGCCTTCCCTTTACTGACTCAGGGCCAGCTCAGTGGGCTCAAAGTATCTCAAAGTGCTCCAGTCTGTAGGGGGCCCTGCAAATGGGCGGCTCGGTGCGCCTCTGAGCTGCACATGGCCTGCAAAGTCTTTCATGTGAAGTGCCTTCATTGACATGCCTACAGTCTGCATAACGACCTCGGCTCAAGGGTAGGGCAGACATGAACCATGAGCCAATCAATGTTGTCGAACTCCAAAACGTCCACAGAACCAGACGGCATGGCACCGGACCTGTCAGGCCTTAGGGGGCAGGAAACACTGACTCTTGCAATGCGATTGATGTGGCGCCTCGTCTTCCTCCTGGGGACTCATATGCAGGCTGGGAAGACAAGCAAAGGCTTTTAAATCCAAATGAAATAAGCGCTATCTGCAGGTGCGAGTGGCATTCCCTTATGCTCCTTGTGGTCCCGGGTTGTCTCCCGTGGAAACTCGTTTGTTCGAGTCGCCATTCAATTCTTCGGTTCTGCTGTGACTCGTCTACTGTTGTCGCAGCAGCATGTCATTGAGTTGAAAACTACGGCTGAGCTTTAGAAGTTTGCGGAAGCCATCACTCCAGCGAGTGCGTTATGGAAAGTCTGCAGCTTTTTGCACAGCCATCGTGCCTGGCATCCCTGGCCCTAGTCATGACATCGGCCTCGATGCACCGCCATGGCTCTTGCCCCTCCCTGGCGTCTCTCGTTTCCGGCTCCATATCTGCTTCGTCCCGCTCAACCCCACCACCCTCCTGCTCTTGCTTCCTTCCACCGTCGTTCATGCTCACTCTTCTGCGCTTGCATGGCGGGTTTAATCTCATCCCGGCGAGAGCCGAGACAAATTAAGGCTATTGGAAATCTCTGAGAACACGCTGCAGTTTGCCTCCACGGCTCGCACGAAGACATCGACATTCAAAGGTCGCTCCCGACCTCCTTCAAAACCCTGAAAGAATTACTGTTTCGGGGTCCTGGTTCAAGAATCGGCTGCCCGGCTGAAAGGCTGCCGCATTCAGATCGGATGTCTCCACAACAACCACAACAGAATCCAGCAAGTCAACCATGACGCAAACCAGAACCCTTCGGAAATATAAAGGGTGTGCAGGTCGTATTGGGTTGGAAACGGGCCGGACACCGCGCACTACACACTGTACCCTGGCACGGGCGCCACCAAAAAACCAACAACGACTCGTAGGATGCAAAAAACCCCGTCGCATGGACTGCACACCGGGATTTGGAACGCTTGGAGAGACCTGGCCTCTCTGTGGAGGAAAACCAATGAATCCAGAAGTTAAAAAAATTAAATCTTGACTTAATGGTTGGGTTTTGACATACCTTGGACCCTCCAATGACGCAGTTAAATCTGGTTTTAATTCTTTTTCTGTGCATTTGGCCGATAGACAATTAAATCCTGAGTTTATTGTCTGGCAGCTTCTCCTGCGAGACTTATGCTAGTCGGTGCCTATTGCCCATTAAATCATGATTTAATGTGACACTTCGGCATCCTTGTCCGTAAACACAAGGAATGTAGTTTGTACTTATCAGCCCCATTAAATCTTGATTTAGTCTGGTCCTTGGGCATCCTTATGCTGGTGCCTATCAGGTTCGATCGCACCATTCGGTGGTTGTTTTCTTCGGCATCAGTTGTCATTGAAGATTTTTTTGATTGTTGAACTAGGTCGTACTGTTCTACTCACTTACGTCTAACTTGCGGCGAATTCGCCTTTCGGACTTTCCAGGCAAACGTTTGAATCAGCATCTAATTGGGAATCTTAGAAGCCATATCCGCCTCTGTAGAGACCGGAGCCGATGCCTCATCGTCTCGATTGGCCGCCTGCCCTCTCTAGAAGTGCTCTTCCGTTTGTTGAGTTTCTGCAATTTTTTCCTGACGTGACATGATTCGTTTTTGCCCACGCCAATCGTCCAACTGGCGAGGGAGAGCAGGTAACAGTGCATGAGTGAAATTGCGAACTTATCGTTGCAGTAGTTGTCGCAGGATGCGACGGATGAGCAGAGTATCATCAAGTAGCCTTCAGTTGATCTCCTCCCACTCGTGTTACGTTTCGCGTTCTTTCCTGCCTCTTTTTTCTCATCCTTCCGAAAAGACGAGAGAGCCAGCCTGCGTTCTGGAATCTCTGTCATTGGCATGCTGGCATAGGACGGCCTTCCCGACACTGCAGCTGCTTGACGCAGTAGGCTCTTCAACCTCTTGAAGCTGCACTGCTGCTCCAATGCCAAGTGTCTTTTCGACCCTCACAGGGCAAGCAAGCAGTGCGAGCTGGACCTAGGTTTGTGGCATGCAGACAATCTACATTTAAATGATGGATGACTTTGGGCGTGTAAAGTGTATTCAAGCCTCCGAGGTGAACGCCTTTCGCAGTGATTTGCTGGCTTGCAGTTGCAAGCATGCTTATTGCATGTGTCGAAAAACATTAGTGACATTAGTGCTTACTGTTATGCCGGAGGTGCAGGAAAAGCTGTTCCAGTCCAGGTGTTTCATGCTTGCTCTTGCTGACAGCTCCTGTATGCGAAGTGATCAACAGAAAACTTGGGTCTTTTGTCCTTTCCTTGCAGAAGCAGCGCGACATCGAGCCGCTTCTTTCTCTGCTGACAGTTTCAACTTTATTCCACGTTCGTACACGGAGGAAGCAGCCCAAATTAGCAGGGGCCAAAACCAAACATCAACAGAGACTGAAATGTCCTGCAAAGACTGAACAAACAGCTAGCATCTCCACTGCCAGCCCGATGCATAGTGCCAGGCACTTCCCGAAGGTGCTGATGTATTCAGGCATCTGTCTTTCGGGTGAAGTGATTCGTCTTGCAAGCTCGGACCTGTCTCCATTTTCCTCATCACCCTTTGCCTCGTCATTCCACCTCTGCCAGACTTCTTGCCAAGGCGAAGACATGCTTATTGCTTGACCTAGTCTTGAGCTGTCAGCTGCCTTCCGTCGTGTAGCTAAAGAAGCGAAGGCTACATAGTTTTAGCAGCCGTGTTGTCCTCAACCTGCTCTGAAGAGGCGACTGCCCAGAGCACGCCTGGGGATGTTCCTATAGGCCTGATCGAAATCACCGCTAGAAGATAGCTCAGCACTGGCCTCTTGCGAGGTTGGTCGACAGACTACGTGAGAAGCCTCACGCAAAAGCGAGTTCTATTGTGGGGCGCAGATCAAGCTGCTGCCATAGTGGATGCGCAGGCGCACTCATGATGAATGCCAGGTGATGCAGTATGTGAAACACAGTCACTGCTTGACAGGCTGCTTATAAGCGGTGTGCTCGTCTGCTTCTGGTATGCAGCAGCCACGATGCCATGGAGGAAGCTCACCGGCTTGTAGGACCTTAGGCTTGTCAAGCAGCTGCTTGCTGGCTGCGTGCAGGATGTCATCGCGCAGGTGACAAGCGAGGAGCCGATAGCAGGAGTGACGGTGGCCAGAGCTGTCCCGAAGACTGTAGTCTACATGTCGTGGTGTTGTTCAGGAGTCTGTCCACCTCTCAGTGCTCCGGTTGCGATCGGTGCAGCAGGCTCGGGCCACATGGCGAGTGGAGCTGGGCAGATGCAACTAGTTGTTGAATATTTAAGGGGCTGCGCCCAGAGTCGGGCAACGCAGGCAGTTCATTCATTCATGCATTCCTTAACTCATTCATTCATTCATTCATT